GCTTTGTTTACCTACTTAAGCCTCAGCAATGGTGGGCACCCCTCCCCCAGCCTCACTGCTGCCTTGCTGGTAGGTCACAGACTGCTGTGCTAGCAATGAGGGAGGCTCCGTGGGCCTGGGACCATCCCTGTCAGGTGTGGGATATAATCTGCTGGTGTGCCTGTTTGCTAAGATCCTTGGTAAAGTGCAGTATTGGGGTGGGAGTTACCCAATTTTCCAGGTGTTGTGTGTCTCAGTTTCCCTGGCTAGGAAAAGCGATTCCCTTCCCCCTTGCACTTCCCAGGTGAGGCGATACCTCTCCCTGCTTCAGCTCTCGCTCAATGGGCTGCAGCAGCTGACCAGCACCGATTGTCCCGCACTCCCTAGTGAGATGAACCCAGTACCTCAGTTGAAAATCCAGAAATCACCTGTCTTCTATGTCGCTGGTGCTGGGAGTTGGAGATGGAGCTGTTCCTATTCTGTCATCTTGCTCCACCCCCGGTTTAGTGATTATTGAGTTTAAAAAGCTAGGGGACAGAAAAAAATCTCAGGTCATTCATAAGTTTCCACATTGTGCATTAGCATTTACAATGCTCATGGGGAAGGAGTAGGAAATTGTCAGGTTAACAGAGAAGTGCAAACAGTCATGGGACAGCCCAACAGTTTTCTTTACATATTGAGTTCAGTGAAAAATTCATGTGGGATACTTTCAGTAGGTAATGGGATTATAGGCATTTCTAGCTGGAGATAGAACTCTGGTTGAAGATGCAGGTTTAGAATAATTTTATTATAATTATTAGGCAAAGCCATAGATCTCAATGAGCTTTTCCATGATGTAGTAGATGTAGAATGAAAATAAAGTCATTGACAAAACTCTGGGAATATCAAAATTTCACAAGAGTCAAAGGACTTGGTAAAGGTGACTGAACAGTGGCTAATGAAAAGTAGGAGAGCAGTCAGAGAAAGTGATGTTGCAAATATCTTTTAAGTGTGAGAATTTCAAGCAGTAAAATTACTGAAAGGCCTACTGGATTTAACTTACAAGTTCTTTACTGGTAATCTGTTCAAAAGAATTATTTTAGAATTATTAGGTATACTGTTGATGTGGTTGATATTTCTGGTATCCAAGAAGAAATCTCCCGAAGATCCTACCTAACTTTTTGTAACTAAAGCAGCATACATACACAGGGGTGGGAAAATGTCTAGACTGGTGAGTACACATGCCAACACTTTTCCAGAATTTTCTGCCTCATTATACCACTTGAGTAAGGGGTTTAGAAATTTTAGACTATACTTGGGAATTTGTCCATTTCTTTTGCAGTTCTATAAATTTTTGTATCATGTATTTTGAAGCATTTATGTTATTATGTACATCAATATTTAGGACTGTTACGTTTTCCTGATTAATTGAACCATTTGTCACTATAAAATGACCTTGTTCATTGCTGGTAATATTTTTGCTATGAAATGTACTTTGGTATTAATACTCTTCCTCAGCCTTCTTTTATCAAGTGTTAGTGTAGTGTATCTTGTTTCATCTTTTAACCAATTTTTGTTTTAATATTTAAAGTTTATTTCTTTTAGGCATTATACATGTAAGTCTTGCTTTTTTATCCATTCTGAAAATCCGCCTTTGAGCAGAGGTCTTTAGACCACTTTAATTTATAATGTAATTATTGATATGATTAGAGTTGTCTGTCATCATGCTGTTTGATTTCTATTAGTCCCAGATCTTATTTGCTTTGCTTTTTTCCTTTTTCTGCTTCCTTCAGACTAGTTTAGTAATTTTTATGATTTAGTTACGTATCTATACATGTATAACATTTTTAGTTACTAATCTAGTTTTACATTTCTTTATAATTTTGTCATATCTTTTTTGGTATAAGCTTATTTGGTATTAGGTATAACTCTTTGCTGTCTTAGTAGTTGCTTTAGGATATATAGTGTATGAATTTACCTCATCACAGCCCACCTTCAAGTAATATTATATCATAACATAGATGGTATAAGAAATTACAATCATATATTTTCATTTCTTTTCTGTCAGCCAGATCCCAGCCTAGATCTGTGGGATTATGACTTTCGTTAAGTTTAGAATATATTTAGCCAATTTTTCCTCAAATTTTTTTTCTGCCTCTCCTTCTACCTCTTTGGGGACTTATATATTATCTGCTGGAAGTTTGCTCATAGTTCACTAGTGTCTCAAATTTGTGCATCTTTTCTTTCGTGATGGCGAATTAATCTATGCTCATATCTACTCAGTGCAGCTTTCATCTCCGGCATTGTAACTTGTATCTCTACAAGTGCAATTTGGTTTTTAAAAGTATCTTCTGTGCTTTACTTATCTTCTTGATTTTTATAGTAGAATAGAGTTGAGTTACTTATAAACAGCTTGATCCTTTTCATTTTTGCTTTTTATGGTATGAGCTAACTCCCCACACCTGAGGCAAGGCCTTTCTGACTATTCATTTTCCCATGAAGTCTGGGTTTTCCCAGGCAAATCTATAAAAATAGACACACTTCTTGGCACTGTGCAAGCACCAGGTGTGATTTCCTCTAATTTTATAAGCCACCCCCCACCCCCTTAGGTAGTTTTCTAGCTCACATGCAATGTTCAAAATTTTGCTGAATACTGACAGGGGGTTTACAGGGATTTCTTGCCGTTGCCTCTGTACCTCTAGCTCCTCCTCAGTGTTTGTTCTATAATGTCTGTCTGTTTTGGTTTTACCAGACACTAAGCTTCATCAATGTAACCAAGAGAGTCTGGTAGATCCCACCTCAGTTTTTTCTTCCTGTGTCATGTCTTGGAATCTCTGTCAAGGTAGGAAGCTGAAACTTCATAAAACTTTCCTTTTTTTTCTGTTTTTCAGGGATTATTATCTTCTTTGCCTAATGTCCAGTGTCTAAAAAATTGTTTAATGTATTTTGTGTGTTTTGATTTTATTTATTTTAGCTACAAAGAAAAATCAGTACCTGTTGTTCTCTCTTGGCTAGAGGCAGACTACACTAGAGCTTCAGCACATGCCACACACTGGCTAAAATGCTTTCCTTCCCTGTTTGCTCAACTGCTTCCTTTTCAGTCTTCATTCCTCAGTGTAGCTATACATTCCTCAGGGGAATTTTCCAGGAGCCTAGTATAGATCTAATTCTTAGCAGTCTGTTTTCTTATAGTATCTATCTGAATTTATAATTGTCACTTTTCTGGGGCTTTGTCTTTCAGCACATTTTAAGTTAAGGAAGGGCAGAGTTTTTTTTTTTTTTTCTTTTTTTCTTTTTTTCTGTTTAATCTGCAGAGCTTAGTATAATGCCTTCCACATGGTAGGCAATCAATATATATTTGTTCAGTGTATGAATTAGTGATTGTTGAAATATGCGGTTCTTTATGTCCCAAAAGTACTAATATATTTTATTTCTATCTCCTCCTTGAGACAGATTCAACTAGCCTATCAAAAATCTTGGATGCAGTTCTTTCTTGTGAAAAAGCAAGGGAACTTAAAAAATATCCCTGTGGGCCGGGCGCCTTGGCTCAGGCCTGTAATCCCATCACTTTGGGAGGCTGAGGCGGGCGGATCATGAGGTCAGGAGATCAAGACCATCTTGGCTAACACAGTGAAACCCCGTCTCTACTAAAAATGTAAAAACAAAATTAGTCAGGCGTGGTGGCGCGTGCCTGTAGTCCCAGCTACTCGGGAGGCTGAGGCAGGAGAATGACGTGAACCCGGAAGGCGGAGCTTGCAGTTAAGAGGAAATCGCACCACTGCACTCCAGCCTGGGCGACAGAGCAAGACTCTGTCAAAAAAAAAAAAAAGTCCCTGTGAACAACTTATAGCAAAAATGAAACAAATGAAAAAGAAGCTTTGTGTACTACAAAAGGAACGATCAGAAGCAAAAGAAATAAAATCACAGAGAATCAAAAAATTAAATGGAAACAAGAGCTCTGTAGGGTGAGGTATAACATACTAGTATATAGGATGCTTTTTGTACTAGCTGACTTACCTTCTGAGGTTTAACTGGAGAAAAATATATCTGTCTTATAGAGTGTCAAATTCTTTTAAATAATACAAGTTTTTAACTGTGAATACTTCTCCTGATAATTAAATGCATATTTATTTAAATCACATTTTTAATGGCTATATAGAAGGCCATTATTTGGAAACCCCATTATTAACCTAACAAGTTAAATTTTCTTATTTTTAATTTTTTGTGTGTTATAATAAGTGTTGCAAGGCATAACTGCAAGTAAGTCTTTTTCTACCATTCTAATTATTGACTTGGAATAAATTCTTCAATATAAAAATATTTGGTTAAGTTATAGGAAGTTTTTAAGAAGTTCTTTGTTCATTACTTCTTAATTGTTCTCACGAAAATTTATATTCATTCATAGTTCAACAAAGAGAGTGTGAAATGGCCATTCCTCTACCCCCAATAATCATTTTCTTTTAATTATACACTCGTAATCTTAATATGCATGGAGTATAAAGAAAAATATAGAGTAATTTATGATTAGCATATTCAATATCTCTCTCTCCTACATAAATAAAATTAATTCAGAGTTCATGTTAAAAATACATATTATTTTTGTTGTTTAATTAAATATTATATTCTGTCTTATTCTAAAAGAGATTTAAAATTTGTTGATAAAATATATAGTAATCAGCAAGATACATTTAAATTATTACTAAAAAAAGAAACAAAAGATATATGGGAAAATAGATGTTAGATTATTTAGCCTAGTCTCAGATTTTAATATTATAATTATTTTTAGGGATACTTGCCTTATTTTATAAAGATGAATATTTATGTCTAATAATTCTGTAAACTTGTTTACAAAAGTCATGTCATTTTAATTGGTTAACTCTAAATGATCTGTCCACATTGAGGAGTAATTTTGACAGTTATATTTTTAAAATAATACTTTTCAGCTTATAAATTTACTGGATAGCTTCCTGTATTCTTTTCCATAACAGTTGTTGAAGTTACTAGTTACAGAACATTTTAACTAGAAGATGTTCTTTTCTCACTATTTTTCAGGTATGTGTGTCATTTGGAAGAGAGTCTAGTAATAAAGTAAATACCTCAGAACTAGAAAGGAAAAAAATATTCAAGAATACAGGAATTTTTTTGGAATAATAAACCAATATAGGAAGAAGTAGATCTCAAAGTGAATTCTATTTTCTAACAAAATGAATTTCAATATAAGTATATTTAATGGCAGATTGACTTTAAACCAAGAAGAAGAGAAGAAATGTCAATATAGTAAATGAAAAAATTAGGCAAGAATTAGGAAGAATCGAAGAGCAACGTAAGAAAAAGTTACAAGTGAAGCAACGTGAACTGGCTCTCCGAATATACAAAATATGAAATTGCAGACTGTAAGAAGTAATTTGAATCAGGTAAATCAGTCTCTGGTAAAAATTTTATATTTTAACTTTATTTCTACAATATTACTTTTAATATCCCTTCGATTTAGTATGCATTATTCAGAATTATGATAATACTGCTATAATATTTAGAAACAAGCTTTCGTACGTTTCATTCATAAGTTTTCATTTATCTTGGGTATGTACGTAGGAATGGAATTGCTGGGTCATAAAGTACCTATGCACAACCTTTTCAGCAATCACCTCACAGTTTTTCAAAGTGTGTGCTATTTTACTTTCCCACCGGCAATGTATGAAAGATTTAATTTCTCTACGGCCTCACCAGGCTGGAGTCCAGTGGAGTGATCTCAGCCCACTGCAAGCTCCGCCTCTCGGGTTCATGCCATCCTCCAGCATCAACCTCCCGAGTAGCTGAGACTACAGGCACCCGCCACCACGTCCGGTTAACTTTTTGTATTTTTTAGTAGAGACGGGGTTTCACCATGTTACCCAGGATGGTCTCAATCTCCTGACCTCGTGATCTGCCCGCCTCAGCCTCCTAAAGTGCTGGGATTACAGGCGTGAGCCACCGCGTCCAGCTGTTTGTCATTTTTTATTGTGGGTACACTAGTGGGTGTTAAGTGGTATCTCCTTGTGGTTTTGATTTTGTGTTTTCTTGATAGCTTGTGATGTTACGCTTTTCTTCATGCACTTATTGGACACTCATATCTTCTTCACAAAAAATGCCTATTTAAATATTTTGCCTATTTTTACGTATTTTTTCTGTTTACTGTTGAGTTGTAAAAGTTTTTTGTGCATTTTGGATACAGATTTCTAATCAAATATATATGTTGCAAACATTTTCTCCACTTTTCTGGCTGTCCTTTTATTTTCTTTGTTATGTCCTTTGAAACACAAATGTTTCTCATTTTGATGAAGCCCAGTACATTTTCTTTTATCACTGTGCTTTTGGTGCCATATCTAAGAAACTATTGCCAAATCCAAGGCCATGAAGATTTATTGCTATTTTTTATTCTAAGAGTTTATGGTTTTGCAATTCAGAAACATAAAATCAAATACTGCATGTTCTTACTTAAAAATGGGAAATATATAATGTGTACACATGAACAAAGAGAGTAAAATGATAAGACACTGTAGACTCAGAAGGGTGAGAGGGTGGGAGGGGAAAGGGTGATGAGAAATTACTTAGTGGATTCAGTGTACATTGTTCCAGCGATAAACACACTAAAAGCCCAGACTTCACTCCTACACAATATACCCACATAACAACATTGCACTTGGACTCCTTAAATTTATACAATTTTTAAAAATGGTTTTAGAGTTTTGGTTCTGTGATTAATTTTATAATGTTTTATTGTGGTAAAAGCATAAGTAATAAGCTTTGCCATTTTAAACATAAAATTCAGATGCATTAATTACATTCAAAATGTTGTGCAATCATCAAAACTATGTGTTTCCAAAAAAATTTTCACCCCAAACTGAAACTCTGTACTCATTAAGCAATAACTCCTCATTCTCCCTTTCCTCCCAAGCCCCCGGTAGGGATAAATTTTATGGTATTCTAATTAATTTAAATGTAAACAACTAAATGCAGCTGGTGGCTGTCATGCTGGACCTCACAGTTCTAACACCACCAGTATCAACCCCTGGACAGATATAATCATTTCTAACTTGCTTTTGCATTTATTATTATTCTATTTATGGCAATCCGTAATCTGTTCTCCCATAAAGCTGGCCTATTCCTGTAAGAACGTATCTTACACCATTGCATTCCCAGCTCTGAATCCTCCAGTGGTTACCTATCACAATTAACAAAGAAATCCAAGCTGTTTATTACGGTCTGTGTTTATCTGCTTCTTGGATTGTGTGCATTCTCCTTTCCTCCTCCCAGTGCCTGTAGCCTGACTGGTCTTTGTCGTGGTCTTTGAGCTCATCAAGTGCTGTCTGCATTCAGACTTTGCACAGTGTTTCTTCTCTCTGCCCTCTAGACATTTGCTTAACTCACTCCATCATCGCTGACCTGCTCAAGTGTCATCTCCTCAAAAAGATTGTTCCAGAGCTCCCTATCTAAAGTAGCAGCCCCTGACCCCTGAATGTGATTACCCTACCTTATTTTCTTTGTATTATTATACTTTTTATTTAGAAAATGCCTCACTCTGTCACCAAGGGTGGGGTGCAGTAGCACAATCATGGATCACTGAAGCCTCAAACTCTGGGGCTCAAGCAGTCCTCCTGTCTCAGCCTCGCAAGTAGCTGGGACCACAGGTGAGCACCACAACACTTGGCTAATATATTTCTTCATAGCACTTAGTACATCCATCACTTTAATGTGGAACTGTTTATGCATTTATGTTCTACCTCTGTCACTATACTGCAAACTCCATAAAGACAGACCTTCTCTCTCCAGTTCCCATAATACTACCCAGCATAAAATAGGCTGTAAGTAAACATCTGTTGAGTACATAAAAGAAGACTCTTATTCATTTTAAGGCTATAATCTATGTTAGATTTAAAGAGATAGTCTCCTGACTAAATGGAAGTGTTTATTGAAGCATGACTTTTAAAAAAAGTGTTGCACTTAGTGGATAAGCTTTTATATGTGCTGCTGGATTCATTTTGCCAGTCTTCTATTGAGGATTTTCACATCAATGTTCATAAGGGATATTGGCCTTAAATTTTCTTTTTTTGTTGTGTCTCTGCCAGGTTTTGGTATCAGGATGATGCCAGCCTCATAAAATGAGTTTGAGTTAGGGAGGAGTCCCTCTTTTTCCATTGTTTGGAATAGTTTCAGAAGGAATGGTACCAGCTTCTCTTTATATCTCCAGTATAATTCAGCTATGAATCCATCTGGTCCTGGGTTTTTTTGGTTGGTAGGCTATTAATTACTGCCTCAATTTCAGAACTTGTTATGGGTCTATTTATGGATTCGACTTCTTCCTGATTTTGTGGTGGGAGGATGTATGTGCCAGGAATGTATCCATATCTTCTAGATTTTCAAGTTTATTTGCAGAGAGGTGTTTATAGTATTCTCTGAGGGTACTTTGTATTTCTGGGGGTTCAACAGGGATACCCCCTTTATCTTTTTTTTTTTTTTTTTGAGATGGAGTCTCACTCTGTCACCCAAGCTGGAGTGCAGTGGTGCAATCTCGGCTCACTGAAACCTCCACCTCTGGGGTTCAAGCAATTCTTCTGCCTCAGCCTCCCCAGTAGCTGGGACTACAGGCACGCACCACCACACCCAGTTAATTTTTGTATTTTTAGTACAGATGGGATTCACCATATTGGCCAGGCTGGTCTCAAACTCCTGACCTTGTGATCCACCCACTTTGGCATCCCAAAGTGCTGGGATTACAGGCATGAGCCACCATACCAAGTCCCCTTTATCATTTGTTATTATGTCTACTTGATTCTTCTCTTTTTTCTCTATTAGTCTAGCTAGTGGTCCATTTATTTTGTTAATCTCCTGGGTTCATTGATATTTTGAAGTGTTTTTCATGTCTCTATCTCTTTCGTTTCTACCCTGAACTTAGTTATTTCTTGTCTTCTGGTAGCTTTTGAATTTGTTTACTCTTCTCTAGTTTTTCAAATTGTGATATTAGGGGGTCGATTTTAGGTCTTTCCAGCTTTCAGTTGTGGGCATTTAGCTTTATAAATTTCCCTCTTAACACTACTTCAGCTGTGTCTCAGAGATTCTGGTACATTGTCTCTTTGTTCTCACTGGTTTCAAAGAACTTTGTTATTTCTGCCTTAATTTTGTTATTTACCCCATAGTCATTCAGGGGCAGGTTGCTCAATTTCCATGTAATTGTGTGGTTTTGAGTGAGTCTCTTAATCCTGAGTTCTAATTTGTACATGTACAAATTAGAGTACACCATGGAATACTATGCAGCCATATAAAAGAATGAGCTCATGTCCTTTGCAGGGACATGGATGAAACTGGAATGTAGAGGACTACGTGCTCGCAAACGAGATGTTCCCGATAAGTCCTGCTCTTGCAAACAAAGCAGGGCGTTCCTTCTCTGCAAACAGGGAGGACAAAGGAGCCAGCTGCTAACAGCAGACGCTGGGGGCTTGTTTATGTATAAACATCTTGAAAATCCAGAAAGTCAGGGAAAGGTCAGAAAAACAACAATGTGTCTTGTGACTTGGCAACATTCCACAAACGACTGTATAAAATAAAGCAGAGCACGCCATTCGAGGCAGCCGCCATGTTTGTCTTGTCTTGTGTTGTCTTGTGTGTTCATTCCTTTGTTTAGGAAACATGCGGACCCCAACACTGGAAGCCATCATTCTCAGCAAACTAACACAGGAACAGAAAACTAAACAGTGCATGTTCTCACTCATAAATGGGAGTTGAACAATGAGAACACATGGACACAGGGAGGGGAACATCACACACAGAGGCCTGTCAGGGGTTGGAGGGGAAGAAGAGGGAGAGCATTAGGACAAATACCTCATGCATGTGGTGCTTAAAACCTAGATTACAGGTTGATAGGTGGAGCAAACCACCACAGCACATGTATACCTATGTAACAAACCTGTACATTCTGCACATGTATCCTAGAACTTAAAGTACAATTTTAAAAACAGATATAAATATTGTATACATAAAAAAAGACACACAATGTTTATGAATAGAAAGATTTTTTATTGTAAATAAGTCATTCTACTCATTAAATTATGGTTGAATGCAATCCTACTCAAAATCCTATCAAGTAATTTGAAAACTGACAAGCTGGCTTAAAATTTTTTTGAAAATTTAAAAGGACAAGAAGAACCAAGAAAATTCTGAAGAAGAACAGAGCTCAAGAATGTATACCATCAGATGTTTCCATCTTTACTACAATTAAAATAAGATAGTATTAGGAGAAGGACATACAAATAGAGAAACCAAAAACAAACTCATACTTATACCATTACCTGATTTATGACAAAGGTGAAACTGCAGTGCAGTGAGGAAATAATCATCTTCTCAATAAATGGTAGTAGATAATTTGGATATCAATATGGGGGAATAAAAGAATTTGACCCCATCTTACATCATAAAGGTCAATTGTAGGTAGGTTATAAAGCGCAATCTGAAAGATTAAAATTTTTTTTAAAAAAAAGCTTCTATAACATAGACGAATACCTTTATGACAATGAGGTAGACAAAATTTCTTAAGCAAGACTAAATAAGCATTAGCTACACAGAAAAACTGATAAATTGGACTACATTAAAATTAAGAACTTGGTATTAACAAAGTCACCATTAAGAGAAAGAAAAACAAGTTAAAGTGGAAGAAGATATCTGCAATGTTTATGTCCAATC